TTTAGACCTTTTAATAACACTTCAGTTGGTTAAATTTTTGTCTGCTGCCCAATTTGGTAATAAATTGGAGCCTGTCTTTTGTATGTCTTCTTGAAATCTCATTTTTTTAGTAATTCATTTGTATTGTGTTTTAGAAAAATTTTGCTCCCACAATGGGTGGGAACATTTAAAAACAACAACTGGTTCTTCCCCACAGATCGGTGGAGAAGGCAGAGGAGAGAGCACGGGCCTGGGGAGGGGAGGTAATGGTAGAAGGGAGAGAGGGCAGAAAGGTCCATTCTGAGGTCCTTGGCGCCCTGGAGTAGTGGTTTCCAGAGTGCGGTCTGCGGGCGGGCATCAGCATCACCTAGAAGCCTGTTAGAAATGCAGATGTCCAGGCCAGGCCCAGCCCTTCTGAATCAGAAACTGGGAGTGGGGTCCTGTTTTAACAAGCCCAGAACCAGGTGGTTCTGATGGGTGGTAAAACTTGAAACCTTTTCTGAGACCTGTGCAGATCCAGAAGCTGCTTAGGCAGAGCCAGACTTGGTCAGTCAGTTTTGGGTTTAGAAATGTTGCCTGATGTCCATCACCACGCAGGGTGAGTGGAAGAGGGAAGCAGACCTCAGTTCTAGATCCTTTCCCAACGGTTTGCCGACTTTGGGTTGACTAATTTGGGAGTTGCTTAATTTGGGAGACTTCTTTTTCCTGCTTCATTCCCAAGGAGCCCTGAAGGGCAAAGAGAGCATGGCTGAATAGAGCCAGTCCTGAAGCAGCCCCATCACCTTAGGGTGGTGAGGGAGCACCCTTCCCCTCCGGCCTCTGCAGAGGGCCGCCCCCCCCCCCCCACTGGGTCCGACCTTCAGCAGCTGATCGTTTGCCAGCTTCCAGGAGTGCACAGTGGCAGCTTGGTGGGTGTTTATGGTTGTTAGGGAAGCCCTGCGTCAGCACTTCACATAGCTCAGAAACTGATGTCTATCTAATACGCGCACTTGGAAATCTGGGGATTTGAAATTATCTGCTTTGCTCTTTGGTGTCTTTTTACCTCAACCTCAGGCAAAGGCCCCTGCCCCTCCTTTTTTCCCGTGAGTAGTGGTATAATTTATGTACAATGAGAGTATTGACAACTGTGTACACCCATGTAACCCACACTCCAAATAAGATGTAGAATATTTCTGTCTCTCTAAAAAGTTCCCTCATGTCTCTTTAAAGTTAATTTCCATCCCTTTTCAGAATCCGGCAAGCCTTCGCTTCTCTCTCTCCATTTTCTAATAAAGTCAGTGCTCTGTTGACAGTTCTGTAAATGCAGACTGAGAATCCAGAAGGGTCCTGCATTGAGAGTGAGATGTTCTGGAAGTCATGTCTGAGCTCTTCTGTAAAGTGGGCACACTGTTACCCACCAGTCAGGTCATGATGCAGAAGTGCATTTGTTTAATGTATCCCCCGGCACACACAGTAGGTCCCTGGGAAAGGGGGACACTTGCCAGCTCTGCTTGCCGTGGTTCTGGGTTCTCACCATAAGGTTTAGGAAATTCCTGTTTTCTCCTGGTTTCAGGGTTATCTACAATGAAGTTATACAGACCTCCAAGTATTACATGAGAGATGTGACGGCTATCGAATCCGCGTGGCTGTTGGAGCTGGCTCCACACTTCTATCAACAAGGAACGGTAGGGGTGAATAGAGACTATGCCTCGAAACACCTGTTAGCTACCTCTTCATATTTCTAAGTGCACATCGATTCTGCAGTTTCATGCCCTAAATTTGTTCCCCCCAGTAGTGCATGGGATGGAAAGGTCACTCCCCTATGTCTTCCCCATTCTGGGTGAAAGCACTATACTATTTGCTCATAGTGAAGTGCATTTGGAAATGATGCATCCCTCCAACTTATAAGATGAAAAAGAGAATGTATCTTTGGCTCTTCCCCTCCCCCTCTGCTTTTCTTTCTTCAAAAGAAATTCTGTCACACTTTGGGCCATGTTCACAATGAGTGGCACAAATATTCTCTGATGAAGTTTGACTCACAAAGAATATAAACTAGTGTGCAAGCTTACAACCAAGGTGGTTTACCCAGCAGTGGGTGCTACCGAGCATGGTATTCCTGTGTATACTCTTCTTCCACGGCAGGCCCTCGTGTGGGACCAGCAGGGTAGTGAGCCTTGTAGAGGAGATGCATAGTTTTGGTTGTTTTATTTTCACAAAACAAATGGTTTATTCATTGGGTTGGGTGGGGAAGGCCATACATTCTTCTAACAAGATCTTTGAGTGGTGGTTATATTTGGAAGGCTGGCATGAAAACAGGTAAATCAGGGTTCACAAACTTCCATTGACTCACTCTGTTTGGTCTGCATCATGTTTTTAATTAGAGTGTTTAGTGCACTCTTAATGCAATTATTGATATGGTTTGATTGAAGTCTGCCACGATGCTGGTTGTATTCTGTAGTCTGAATTAGTTCTTTTTCTTTTTTTACTTTCTATGTTCTGTGTTGCCCAATGCCTGAAAACAGTTGCCTTAGATACTTCGTTCAGTTTTACCACTGTTTACCCCAGAAAGGAAAGTCCAAACCTCTTACTTCATTAGGGCTGTAACCAGACTGCTGTTTTTTCAACCCAAAACTTGGATTGATGGATGCATTTAAAAATTGGGAGATTTCACAGTAAATACGGATTTCAGGTTTCTCTTAAAAGAAATGGTACGTGTCTGCCAGCACTGGGGCTGGCAGGGGCACCTGGGTGGCTCAGTCCTTTAAGCGTCTGCCTTTAGCTCAGATCCTGATCTCAGTCCCTCATTGGGCTCCCTGCTCAGTGGGGAGTCTGCTTGTCCCTCTGCCCCTCCCCCTCCCCCTGCTCCTGCTCTCTCTCTCTCTCTCAAATAAATAAATAAATAAAATATTTTTTTTTTTAAAAAGAAAGAAAGAAAGTCTGCTGGCACTGGGCCCGAGTTACTGCTTGGTGGCAGTCAACAGGGGCCAAGGAACGGCTGCTCGCTGGGAATGACGCTGTCCAGGTGCCATGGTCCTGTTTCACTTTGTTAGCCTCACTTGCTTGACTCCTGGAAACATTTGAGTTGTGACCCTGTAAATGGAAGGCTCTTCTCCTCCCTCAAATGTCAGGGGAAATTGTCCTTTTAAAACCTTCTTAAAGTATTTAAATTGTATCCGGTTGGATGGAAACTGAAGCCTGTATAGTTCTTCACACATCCTCATACAGATGCTGCAGCTGGAAACCGGGTCAGTTGCAGGCACCAGGCACCGAGACGCATTCAGAGTGTGTTGTCTGTGCTGCGTTGGGCTGACGAGAACACACCTCAAGTGAGAGAGTGTCTTTCCCCCAGAACCCCTCAGACGGGAAGCAGCAGACTTCAGAAGTCCAGGAGGAGTGAGGAGAACTGGAAGCTGAGAAGCGCTGGTGGTTCAAGTCGGAGGATGCGAGCATTCGAGGGGGGTGAATCCGAAGTTGTCTCACATCCATTTAGACTCTCGGAGAACGGGATTAACCTAGAAGCCGAGTCATTTTCCCTTCTCATCTCAAAACCACAGTTCAGGCCCACCAAGTTAGAGCAAATAGCCCCGGAAGTTGGGAGGAAGTGACAACCCCCGATGTCTGCGTTGGCCTCTTCTCTCCAGACGCCTGTTGTCCCACTCACTGGTCCATTCCCATCACTGCCTATGAGCCGTGTAGTTTTAGAGATGCCTGGATCTTACAAGTCATCTGGTGCCACAGCTTCATCGTACGGGCAAGGGCCCCGAAACCCCCCAAGAACCTTGGCCCCTTCTTACGTAAGCAGTCCATAGGTACTTGTCCTGTTAACTTGTCGGAATGAATGGATTTCCCCAAGAGCCCTGCAGGTCCCCACTGGCCGCCCATGTACGGTAGACGCTCCTTTGTCGAACACACGGCCTCCCCCCGCCCACAGAGGGTCCCTGGCTCTGTTCCTGGCACCTTTGGTGACTTTCCATCGCTGTTGTTTTCAGAGTGTCACTCTCGTCCTGTATGAAATGGTCCAGAGTCGGCTGTGTTTATACCCGGCATTCTTCTCAGAAATGAACACCCAAAATGGTCCTGTGCATAGGCCCGATGACATCAGCTCCGTGCCCAAGCAGGGCGGAGAGTGTCTCACAGTGGCTGGAGGGGTCCTCTCGGGTAAAGTGCAGGGAGGAGAGAAATGACCGAAATGAGGCAAGACCCCCAGCTGGAGGGAACAGGGTGGCCTGCTCAGGGAGTCACCTTCCAGTCCTTAATTTTGTGTCCTGATTCTCAGAGGTGTCCTTGGGATCTAGGAAAAACCTTCTTAACCAGGGCCTTTGCAAGAACCCGTACTGGTCCTTTCTCCAGCACACACGGTTAGAAAGGGACTTCCTACCTCTGTCACATTCACTCTGTCAGTGGGGACAGGTACTAGACGGTGTGTTATGTCTCCTGCACCCCGCGTTCTTTCAGGGCCTGTGGTTCCCTGTCAGCAGTGGCCTTGCTATCTCAGCCCACGTGGGTGTGTGGGTGTTGGTTGGGCACTGAGCATGTTGGGGACCAGCAGTCAGGTTGGGAGTTCCTCATGTGAGGATCCCACTGCGTGTTAGGGTATCTCTTGGTTGTTTGCTTATGATTATTGACGGGGTACTAGGGATACCTCAGTCGGTGAACAGAGGTCCTTTATTAAAAGCTTCTGTTTACATTCTCTGCCTTAAACATGTGCTTTAGAATTTCCAGCACTTCTGGCTTTATCTTCGAACATAAAGTATAATTGTATCACTAAATCCTATTATCTGATGCCCATGATTATAATGTTATGCATCCTGTGTTCTTTATATTGGTAGGGAGCGATGTTTCTGAAAGGAAAGGGTGGTTCTAGGAGGTGTTCTTTCCCTGTTTGTCTTCCCTCATGTGCATTTGCCAGGGGGTCCGTGGGGGCCAGGGCCCTGAGCACATGTATCTGCACGTGGAGGTGCTTGGTGAAATGATGGATCTCCTTGTTCCTCTGGGGAGGGTACCTTTCCTTGACTGTTTGTAAGAAATTCATAGAAACAGGAGGTGACTTCCAGCCCGAGCCCAGTCCCCTGAGCACAGGGATTTGACTGTGGTGCTGTCCTGGGGGCTGGGGCAGAGGGAGAACGTGTACCATTGACACCTTCCTGCAGAGCCCTGGGTGACCAGGGTCGGCCATGGCAGGTTGGGCCTTGGGCTGCTGGGCCTTACTGAAGGCCCATCGCCTTTGTTGGTTCCTTGGGCTTTTCCCTTCCACACTGCTTTCTGAGGGGCACGGCATCTGCCGAGAATGTGCAAACCAGAGGGCAGCACTGGTGTGGTCGTTGATGTGGGGGTCTGGTTGAAGTCCAGTCTCTCTGTCTGAGCAACCCCTAACGCTGATGGTTTCTCTTCTCTTGCAGCACCTGTCCCTCAAAGCCAAAAGGGCCAAGGTCCAGGACCAGTGAGCGGAGCTCGGCTGCTCCCGCAGGGGGCTTAGCGCCCTCTCCTCTACACTGTGGTCCCCTGGCCCTGGGCGGCGAGCTGGCCTCAGCTCACGTGGAGTCTTCTGCTGCTCTGAAGTGGGCTGCAGCCTGTTCGTTAGCCCCTTCCTTCCCGCTCCCCTCGGCATCTGCGTTCCTTGCTGGGATCCCGGGGGCATTCATGCATGGGCGGGCACCCCTCTGCGCTGCACCCAGGCAGAGCGGGAGTGGGCAGGGCCGTGCACTCTGCTCACGCAGCGCCCCCGCTGACCCAGCATGCCAGTTCTGACTGGCTCCCGGTTCTGGCCCAGCTTCTTCGTGGGGCACGGGGAGGAAAGCTGGCCACGGCTGGAGCGCTGGGCAGGGTGCACGGGGAGGTGTGTGGGGCTGCCTTGGCTTTCCCTGGCGGGGCCCCGGCAGTGCTGCCGGGTGTGATCGAGCGTGTGTCTGCGGACGAATGAGACGGCCCTGCGGTGTCCGCCAGCATCACTGAGGGGCGTGGCTGGCCGACGCAGGGGCTCCCAGACCGAGCAGCTTCTGTTTTCCCTCTGCGCCATGACCCTGCCTGTCTGCGGCAGGAGACTCTCAAGGGTTGGTGACCGACAGACACTGTTCTTTGTTAGCTCTCACAAGTGGGCTTAGCTTTCTCTGCGCGTATGACACCACGGCCCGCCGCCGCTAGCTGAGCACTAGTGAGCTCGTGCGCTCACACCCTGGCGGGAACCCTCTGGCGCAGGAATTCACAACAGTTTAGAGGCGCTAAGCTTCTGTAGCTCAGGAACATAACTTGTATATTTTTTTTATATTTTTTTTTTTGTTTCTTTGCTTGGGTTCGGCAAGAACCCGGGGCGGCCCTCCCAGCAGGCCCTGGTTCTTTCGTCGCCCCAGGGCTTCTTCGTCGGGATGGCGATTGTGTTTCAACACGTGACCGATGCAGGTTTCTCCCCTTACTGTTTCAGTGACCTTTATTTAAAAAACACGTGGCTTGAAACTTTATTTTTGTACTGGTTTTAGTTTGGATGTGCCACTTTTGGCACCAAACATGTATGTCATTTTTATTTCCATTTTGTAAACCTGTAAATAATAGTGGTAACTTGTTAATAGTCGTAAACCTTTGTACCTCAAGTAAATGTGTTCCCTCCTGCCCGTGGTACTTGTGGTCTGTATTTTAAGATGGTCCAGTGAATTCCGCGAGAGGGCCTGATGCTCTGGCGGTCCAGTGGCTTTGGGGGCTCCGGGGACACGGGAAGCCTCCTAACGCAAGGTCCGTGCCACCGTATGCCCTCAGGAGCTCAGGGGAGCAAGCCGTGGGGTGTTGTTTAAATAAAGTTCTAAAGAGGTGCTAATTTTTGCCATATTCTCATTAGGATCTTTTTGTAGAGAGGTCAGTAACACTTAACTTTTGTAAAGTCTGAATTTAGAACCAGGGCGGATCGTGATGAGCTGCTGTGGGAGTGGGAGGAGGAAAGGGTACGGGACCCACCCCGTGTGCGGTGAGACTGGAGATCTCCCAGATGGGAGAGCCGACAAATGGGGCTGGGCAAGGAGGTGTGCACAGGCGGGAGGGAGCACGGCGGCGCCTCTGCCTCGGAGCCCCCACCTCCTGCGGGGCAGCCCTTCCCGGTGGAGAGTGGTCTTCGCTGTCAGAGGCTGCAGCCAGAGCCCCGGCCTGGCTGAGGCGCCCTTCCTGTGTGTGAACAAGCACACAGCCTCGTCAGCCAGCCACGTCCCGGCCTGGTTCTGCACAGCCGGATTGCCTGGCCACCCAGACTGGCCCTGCGGAGCTCCACCAGAACCAGTTCCCTCAGGCTCTTCATCACTTTTCAGGTGTTTTTAGTGAAATTCTGCCAGCATTGCGGTGGCTTCCTTTGAAGCCAGGTGCTCCAGTGGGAGTGGGGAGGGGAGTTGGTGCTGGAAGCACGGTGGACGTGGTGGTGTCCCGTAGGCCCGAGATGGAGCTTTCTGTCCCGTTAGCTGTCCTGTAGCTAGTCTCCCGAGGGCGGGCCGGTGCTGTTACAGGAGCCCTGGCCCAGTGCTCCTCACTCGGTCCGTCCGCAAACACTTGGGCACCTGGGCTGCTGGTGGCACATGACTGCACAGGCAGACGAGGACCACCCAGCGGGAGGAACTGCAGAGGCCAAGGTGGCGTTGGAGGCCAGGGCAGCACCCAGAAGAGGCTTCCCCACAACAAGACCCTTTCCTCGTGAATGTAGATCGTGCTCATGTTCTGCTCTGTCTGTCCTGTCCCAGCTGAACGTTTCCCTTTGGCTATGAACTTGGGGGGATACACGGGCCCCAGCTCTTTGCTCCTCTGTTGAGGCCGTCAGCACTGCCTGTAATTGGTGCTGCTTTCCCTCAGTCTGGGTCCCCTGGCCTTCTGGCCTGTTCTCAGCTGCTCTTTGCACGGCCCAGTGCTGATGGGCTGGTCAGTGAGTTCAGGGGGTCGTGTGGTGGGGGTGGGGGGGCACCACAGTTTACCAGACTGCCCTTCCACGATGAGGAACATGCAGTAGTGAGCATTTCAGAAAGCTTATGTTAGTCTGTGAAAGTCCTTCCTTTAGATTTTTTTTCCTTTTTTCTGGTGCTAAATATTTTTTCTTTTGGAAAATGGTGATGATAATTAGATGGTACTTTGGAAATGTTTTCCTTGGAAAAATAAAATTCCAACAATCCTACATCAGTCTTCCCATTAACAACTAATTCAAAACAAAACTGAAAATTGGTTGAGGAAATCCTCAAGGCCAGGGAGCCCTCGGGCTGTGGGCCACGCAGACCGTGGGGCTGCTGGTGACGGGAGCGTCGCGCAGCACAGCTCCGGGGGAGTACGTCTGCCTTGCCAAGCAACTGACTTTCTAGTGAACCCTGCAGCAGCTGGGAGACTACCTGTCTTTACATAACTGGAAGGATTCAAGTTAGCGGGACTCAGCGCCTACATCCCTTACCTCACCTTTAGATAAGATCAGATATTTTCCACTCTCCAGTGACTCATCGGGATTTTTCCTCAGCGCTCCAACTCGTGCTGAAACAGGGTGGTGGAACTCTGGATTCCCTGTCAGTTTAATCTTTCTGTCATTGAACCTGGAAATAGCCAACCCAATCATTTCACACATAGCTGGCCACTTGGGGTGAGTGGCTGGAGTGTGCACGGCAGGGCTTGACCCCGCGTCCTCACGGTCGCGGCTCCCTCCGACAAGCCAGGGTGATGTTCCGCTAGCTGGTGAATCATGGAGCTGTTACCTTGTGCACTCTTGGGTGGTACTGAGCTTGTTCAGACAGGCTGTCTTCCTGCTCACAGACGAGATCCCAGTGCACTTTCCCCAGGCCCCGGGGCATACGTGGCCTCAGCCCCTACCTGGGCTCTGTGGAAAGCAGCGAGCAAGCTAGGGAGACTGGGACGTTCACGAGCGAGTCAGTGTAGTGGCGGGAGTCCTGTGGTGGTGCCCAGAATCTCCAGAGCTGGGCAGAGGCCCAGCACAGCTCCGCCGAGGGCTGGTCCACTGACCGTGGCCCGCACAGTGGCTCTGAATACAGATGTCCAGGCCGGGCCCCCAGACTCATGGGACAAACACTTACATGACCTAAAAGTAGCTCGGGCTCCCTGCCTCCTGCCCTACCTCTGGACCCTGGGGGCCCTGAGGGCAGGATTGGCTAAGGACTTACCAGTCTGCCTTCAGCTGGCTTATTTTAGCCTTTTCTTTTCTTCCCACTGCTTTCTGTTTTGAAGTCCAATGAGGTTTGCTCCGTGTCTGCTGTTACTGTGTTTACTCTTAGCTCTTGTTGCTTTGTTCACACTTGTGCATATGCATTGTCCTTTTAATCTCTACCTCCCTGACTTCTGCATTTTTTCCCTTTTTACCATGAAATTGGAAAAAGAACACAGACGTGTTGGATCTGCTTCATTTTTATACTCTTTTTAAAAAGTGTTTTTACCTTAACCTTGATTTTAACTTCTTGATCTTTTTTATGCTTTACTGATTTGTTTCTAGCTTTTATTTTGTACTTTTAGGTACAAAAAGAAATCTTGTTAAGTTTTTGGTTTTGTCCTGTAAATATTTTCTTCCATTATTTTTCTCATTTTAATATTATTCGTTTTAAACTCACCCAGACAATTTGCTTTCCATTTCATTTTGTCTCCATTACCCACCTTCTGTTATATCTTAGTCTGCTTAATTTGTTTTCACGGTTGGCAAGAGGCCTAACTGTAGGTGTGGGAGCTGAGAGAAGTTGTGTGCAGTGGTTGAAACCAGCAAAGGATTAACTGCCAATAATATACAAGGAGCTCCTACAAATCAACAATGAAAAGACAACCCCTGTAGAAAAAAAATGGGTAAGAGGAATGAGCAATATAGAAGCAGACCCCAAAGTCTACCAAGCCTGTGAAGAGCTGTTCAAACTCAGTCATCAGAGGAACAGAAACTAAAGCAACAATTAGAGAACACTCTGCACCTGTCAGCATCAGATTAGCAAAAAGCGCAAAGGTGGGTGATGTCAAGTGTCGGCAGAGATGTGGGGACTCGGTGCAGTGCTGGTGGAGAACCATGGGGCACTGCTCATTGAGTAAAGTCTATGCATGCCCCACAGTCCAGAAATTGCTCCGTCCAGTCCCACAGTCCAGACATTTACCATGTCTGGGTAAATGTTCCCAACAAAATGATCTCCTGGGTCTGCAAGCAGCCATGTGTAAGGGTGCTCCTGCAGTGTGAATGTGGTGGGGGTGGGGGGATGAGTCACCTCGGTCACCGGGGGAGTGTTTAGGAAAAGGTCCGCGGCTGACACCGACGACAGAGTACTACAGAGCAGTTTCCAGCCACAGACAACACACAAACACGGACCTTAAAAATAGCTGAGTGAAGGGGCGCCTGGGTGGCTCAGTCGTTAAGCGTCTGCCTTCGGCTCAGGTAATGATCCCAGGGTCCTGGGATGGAGCCCTACATCGGGCTCCCTGCTCCGTGGGAAGCCTGCTTCTCCCTCTCCGACTTCCCCTGCTTGTGTTCCCTCTCTCGCTGTCTCTCTCTCTCTGTCAAATAAATAATCTTTAAAAAAAAAAATAGCTGAGTGAGGAAAGTAAGAAATAGATGCGGCAGTATCATTTACAGGCACCAAAGATAATACGCGCAAGAAACAAGAAACAAGGCAACGTTTCCAAAAATGTGTACACCTGTGCATTAAAAGGGTAGCCTGTGGGGGGTGGGGGGGATGGGAGTGAGGAATGGGGGTGAAAGAAAATTAACAAATGGAACAGGACAGGATGGAAGAGGGAGCCTCAGGTGTTCCG